GATTTAAACACTATCGACGCATTCCTACGTAGAGCGAATCCGAGAAAACCGAAAAGAGTTTAACTCCGATTTATCGTGCTCCCGCTCCCTGTGATTGCACATTCACGTTAAAAGCACCGTTCAAACGAACCGGAGTCGAAGGGGACTATTCCAATATAGATCCGATGCACTAACGCGCGGTAAACCCGCTAGAAGAACTATCTGCGAAAAGCGTCTAAAAATTCGGTTGGAATTGTTACGATTGTTCCCGCAAATCTCCCTGTACTCGATCACGATTGACGGAATTCGAGCGAGCGAGCGAGAGAATGAGAGGAACAGAGGGAACCGATATATTCTATCACTTATATCGATATTCTGGAAATACAATTTCGTGGAGAATAAAAATCGACGAGGATTCGGGTACGGACGAATTTGTTTCTTCCGGCACAGAAGAGAGGAATTATATTTTTATTATTCTACGGGTAACCTCCGCGCTCGACAAACGAAGCGAAATCGCGTGATGCGGGGAGTTTGGGATGCGCGGGAGCGAGAGAGGAAGGATAGAAGAAGCCCAATAGAATTATTCGCGTCTAGACGAATTTCGTTACGAGAAGGACGAGCGGGGAGAGCGCCCCAGGATCAGCCAGTGGGCGATCTTCGATATGTTAAAAAGCGTGTTACCGCACAATACGTTATATACAATACGAGCGGCACGCCGAGCCGTATATTCTAATATACGGGAGGCGTCGAGGCTCTTCTTTTGTCAAGAGATGCAGATTCGCGCGGTCCATCGTCCATCGTCGACGTCGTTTAAGCGGCGCACAATATATATTTGCATATATATATACACACACACACATACACACACATACGTGTATATATATATATATATGTGTGGCGGCCTGTCTTCCAAAGGAATATTGAATTAAGCGTTTCCCGGGAAAATCGACTGTGTGGGTTACCATGGAAACCATAGCCGGCCCCGTGTTTCGCTTCTCAACCCGGCGCGCGGTCGCATTCTCGCACGGATTCGACGTCGCTCGGAAGCGGATCGCCGCACCGCCACCGGTCCGACCCCGACGTTTCATCAAACATTCCGATATACAGGTTCGCGGATTTTTTGGACCGGTGACCGCGCGCTCCCGCGCTTTGCCCGCCGCGACCCTCGCGTAATTCGAATCGAAATCCAGTTCGCATTGAATCCGAAGCCGATCGGGATTCCGATTCGCGGAAAAAGCAATACGTTCTGATTTATTCTCGTAATTATCTCCCGTTTTAGGAACCAAGTATCTCGGAAAAAATAATAATAATAAAGAGAGGAACGAGAGCTTTGAATATTTTATTATAGCTGATGTGCAGGTTTCGCTACACCCTCGCCACGCTTCTCGCGTTCCGCGAGGATTTTTTTTCCGGCACGCCTAATGCAGGTCGGACACTAATACCTCGAGCAACAAGGGATCGATAGCCGGCAGAGTGACTTGCTAGATTAAGCTCGTTACTCAGTATCGCGAATTATATTCTTGCCGGGCGCTTGCGAACTATCAAGGATCAATACCGCCCGCGCGCATAGTTCAATCCTAATGCAACTTGCCAGAAGTTTCCGGGAGAATCAAACATAAAGCCCGTACACCGATACCATGGGGAGAGAGAGAGAGAAACGGAGGGTAAAGGGGGAGAGCGAGAGAGGAAAGAGAAGAGAGGGCGGACGGACAGCGTTAATCCGACCATAGAAACTCGAATCCGCCACTCGATATGGAATAAAGCGCGCGCTTTTGTCTCCCGCTTCTCGGCATCGTTCGTATAAACGTCGCGCCGTTTTGAGACTCGACATCGACAATCGGTTACCCTTCTGCTGTCCGTCATCCGGACGAGTGGCTGGACATTCGACTGTCAAACTGAGTTACCGAACTACATCCGATAGTTTTTTAATCAGGGGGGCGGGCACAGGGCGGGCGCGAAGGAAAATTCGCGGAGAATGGCAATTTGTCATCGATCTTTACGTCCAACGTGGTGTCGAGTTTTCGTCGTTGACTATGCGTCGTCTGCAACATTCGAGATATCTGATATCTAACAAAAAGCCTATAGACATCTTCCCCGATATCTTCGATGTACATCGAAGATGCCGTTTGTTGTTTGTTTTTCGAAAAGTCAACGCCACCGATAAAATAATTTTTCAATGCTATATTTTATCAATAGTATTTTTCTAGATATTTCTTATACGACACGACTGTAATTTCCAAATTCTTTCACGTAACATATTTTCCTATCGCTGTGTGTGTACCGCAGAAATCTCTATGTTTCCAAAATATACCACAAGCCATCTGACGCGCTTCATTTTTCGCGCCTCTTCGCGATATCGAGTCTCCGGCAGGCACGGTCGTGGATCAGGAGATCGTCGTGGTCGGGAAAGCCCGCTGGCTGGATTCACTTCCGCCGATCGTCCCTCGCTCACCGGAAACCGAAAAGCCGCGAGAGGAAGAAGTTTCTCATTCCGCGGGGGGGAGGGGGGAGACAGGGTGGGTTTACTGAGCTCGCGAGTACCCGTGCCCGAGAGACTCGGGAGAGAGAAAGAGCAAAGGGGAGCGAGAGGGAGTCGATTTTCACGGAATTCACAGAGAGCGATCGCGAGTCCGGGCACGCGTGGGTTCGCGCGGTGCGGCGCATTGCCAATAAAGTTTCGTGGGTTAACGCGGCGCAGGTATGCTCGATCTACTAAGGCCGATAACTCGATTCTCCATCGATCTCGGGAGAAGGAGAGCGAAAGAGGGAGAGAAGTGGGAAGAAAGAGGAGAGTATGGAGACACGGTGTCGTTTTCCGCAGAGGGAACCCGGGGTTCGTAGGGACACGCTTCCGCGGGATTCAATTTGCCATTCTCCCTCGGATCCACCCGTGTTCTCTCTCTCTCTCGGCACGCCTCCTCCTTCCCGATGTGGCTTCTTTAGGAAGAAACGATCGCGAACGCGGTTACATGCACCGGTTAGAAGCGCTCACGGGCGTGAGCCGATAAATAGCGCGGCGGCGTGGCGTTGTCGAGGGAACGGAGGGAACCCGTCGCGCTACAAAATGGAGCTAACCGAGTTCGTCCCGTTGGAGTTCCTCGCGAATGGAATTACGAGTTGCGCGATCCGCGTGTATACGACGAACGTGATCGCGAGCGACATAAAAATATCGAGAGAGCTGTCGGAACGCGAGCATTCCGCTTCAACGGGTCGCGGAAACGAGTCGCTCCGCGACGAGCCGTGTCCGATGATGTCCGGTCGTCCGAGGAAAACATTTGTACAAACGTGTATCGCGTTGTTAATTATTGCTGTTAGAAACAAAATGTATAGCGTTATCCTTCCAACATCAGAGGATAATGATTATCTCTGATAAATCATCGCGATCTCCGTGCGCTTCCAATCCTGGCGTGCTTCCAAGAGGAATGAGTGTTTGCGAAGAACAAAGAACGTGACGTTGTTCTCGCCCGGGCTCTTAGATGCGTTCGATCGGGGGGAAGAGAATTTGCTGTTTGCAAATGTTCTCGCGGGGAGGAGGGTTGGTGATGGGGGGCGCGTACGGGCAGCATCGTTAAGTCCATCCATCCAGAGAGAGAGAGAGAGAGAGAGAGAGAGAGAGAGTGTGGCGAGCCACGGTGATGGATGGTGAGAATGCAAGTTTACGCGACACCATCGGGGTTTCGGGCGCGGGGGATCTTAAGCCGGGTTTCGCGAATTACATATTTTGCGGGGCGGCGGGGTGGCAACGGTTGGCTTTTGTGCGAGGCAGAATCGCGCTTGCCACTGCCGCCACCGCCGGTGAATAGGATTTTCGTCGACAATGCCGCGACGACTACGAGACGGGGCGAAACTCGATATCGCTCGCGAAGTCACCGCTGTGCAGAATTTCCGCGAAGAATACGTGGTGGGTGCTTCGCTCTTGCTCGTTTCCTTTCTCTCTCTCTCTCTCTAGCTTTTTCTGTTTCGCGCTGCCGCAAGCACGTATGTTTACGACGCGCGGATTGAACGCGGGACGAAGCATGTGATAGTCTACCTTGTGCGCGCAGGTGTCTTCCACGAGCGCGCGTAATTAGTTCAAGACGCACGGTTTAACGCGGAATATCCGAATATCTGATTTGCTCTGTGTATCTCATTGTATCGCATTTTCTCTCTCCTACGCACGCGTTTGCATGCGCGGTCTGCGCTGACGTTTCTTCCGAACGATTTAATTTTCATCGTTCGATTAACTTCCCCGATCCTCGTTTCTACAAGGATTATTGACGATATACCGCGCCGTATCGCTTCGGATGCGCGTAACGTGGCGAGTAACGACCACAAGCTAATACTCTCTAATTCTTATTATACACAAGAAGTACCTCGCTCCTTATTCCACTCGGCGAACTCGAAAATGACGTATCCGGAAACTGTCTCTAGCGCGGTTCTAAGGCAGTCAATAGACGCAAGACAATACCGAGAAGCGCATAATCCGGGAATGGCTCCTGCATTTTGACGCCGGATACACGTAGGAGGAGGCTGAGATCGTGCGCGACATTATTACGACCACCTTTATTGCGGATCTCCCGGCCACCCTCTCTCTCTCTCTCTCTCTCTCTCCCGCCCTCTTGCACGCGCGCGTCCCGGTAACGATATTGACGCCAATCTTGCCTCGCTAACCTCCTTGTTAGCCCCGCAGATTACACTTAGAACCGCCTCCGTGATAACGTTACGCGCCTGTGTATCGCACCACTCGCCGAGCGCGATGTACAACTCCCCGAGTTGCCAGTAATGCGTCAGCATACGGCGCCGTAATATCTTATCATTTGCAGATAATCAGTAGCTTATTACTAAGTTGGAGCAATTCGTATTCTGCGAACCGTAATTCTGGAAATCCGGATTTCTAATGCCGTTTCACCGTTGATCACGGTGCGTTTACGCCCTAAATGGTGTCCCTCATGCGTATGATTTATTTATGGTAAATCTATTAATCGTGCTTATTGTACTGAGTTTTGCAAAAAAAAGATACTCGGCATGCGCCAGAAACGTACCTCTCTCTTTGTCCGAAATCAATTGAGCCACCTTGTTGACGCGAAAGTCGATGGGCACCAGAGAAGTCTCGTTGACTTTCAAAAACCGCTCGCACTCCTCCTTCTTTCGCTGAAATTCCTTCCTGTAATAACAGTTAAAAAAATTTATAAATAAATGCGGAGATCTCTCCAAAGCGGCCATTTCACTGGCGTATAACGTATCTCTATACCGTTCCTGTTGTTTTATTTCGATGTCGCTCGTTAACCGAGCTTAAGCGAGCTTCCCGTCTCTTGTTCTATTGTAATTAACGAAACATTTGCAAGTCATTTACAACGGAACGCGATGGGAAGGCGCGTGAAAGCGTTATGAATATTCCACGTATGTCCCGGTCGCGCGTTGCGCGTACCGCGCGATATGTACTTCCGGAATAAACACTCGTGAGGCCGACGAGAGCTTCAAATTACTATATCTTCTCCAGTTTCACGAAGTAGACGCAAATACTACGGAGTTTCGCGACTGTCAGATATACTACTTCGGTATATATACGCATATACACATTCGGTGTAACGGCAGTAACCCATAGGACAGAATGTTTGACGTACCACTATTGATACAAAGATCGCGCATATATATGCATATGTAAGCAAAGATCGATACAGAGAGAAAGAGAGAGACAGAGAGAACGGAAGAGACAGAGACTTGAGAGAATATGTACGTAATAGTACTTATTCATAATTGAAAAGCTTCGCGGAGAAGCGTTGCGAATTTATCGGAAAAACGCTACCACATAGCTCGAAACGTAATTTAGGACACATTCGAATACAACAAAACGACGAAATCTAAATGAGACATAATAGCGATATTAAAAATTTGGATTGTCGTGCAAAATACGGCAAGTAAATTTAATTTTTTTATTTTTAATCAAGCGATCTGTTAACCGCGAGTTTCTGACGGATGATAATTATCGTTGGGAAGAAGCGATTGTATCAAGCATGAGAAATTATTTTGTTGAGCATTAAGTATGGGTTTTGACGGATGAAAATTATTGTTAGGGGGGAAGCCGCGTGCATCCCCTTGTCGCTGCGGTCCGCGAAGCTGCAACTTCCCCGCTACGTGTAGGTAAATTTCTCTCAAGCCGAAGGAAGCAACGGCATAAATCGTGGCGGAAGCGTGGTTTCGCAACAGAAACAAAAGGAGGAGGGCGAAAAAAAAGAGGTGCCGGCGTGGCAGAGAGAAAGTCGGTTGGAAATTACAATATTCATTTCGATAAAAGGGAACGGCGCGATCGTATACGCTACTCTCTGTGTCCGAGGGTAATTTATTATCTCGATGCCCGGAGAATTATCCCGCTTTTGCGCCGCGGACTCTTTCACCGCGGACAGCGTGTCCGGTTGCAATAAATACTCCTATGATAACTGGCGGCGCAAAATACGCCGATGATTCGTCCAATTAAGACCGTGGGCATTACCGATAATTAGCGAAATCGTTATTTCGCAATAATATGATTTAGGAAGTTGACGAAAATATCAAAGGGAAATGCTGACAATGAGAGATATAAAGTCGAGCGGAGTAATCAAAGTCGTTACGTAAATCGGACAACACGATTCTCAATGATAAAATTAACAGCTATTATAACATCATTAAAGAGTAAATATTCACGTAATGTGTGTGTTCACTCGCTACACGCGAAATTTAAAACCGGTAACTGTCAATTTTAATATTGGAAATTCATTATATGGCTGCAGTTCTTGTCCCCATTAGAAGTTTCTCTTTCTCTTCAAAAACTATCTCTTCTAAAATGTATCCCTCCTTCACAGAAAAACAATTCTCTTTTAAAAGATTTATACTTGAAACAGTAGCATTAACATGAATGTTTTAAATATAGGATAGGAAAAAACACATGAATACAACAAAACCAAATGACACATCGAATTGTGCGGTGAACATGCATACAAATAAAAAAAAAAATATATATATATATATCAATGAACAAAATTCAACGTAAGAGGGGCGCGGTTTAACCGGTCCTGAAAGGGTTATTCTATTATTTTGGAGTTTTGTTATAAAACTGTTTTGCGGGACGAGTTGATACCGGATCGCACTGACGAATGGGCACCGGAGTAAAGGGGGACGGGGGGGTGCCCGCCCTCGGGCGGATCTGGTATCAAATATTATCCATTATTAAACACTACAGAGCCCGGGCGTGTGTAGCAGCGTACGCGTCCGTCAATTTTTCAATATTTTTCTGGCTTCGAGCGCCAAAGCGCGTTCAACGGGCGTCACTCACCCCCGCTGCCGCAACGATGTATCAGTATAAATTCGCGCGTTACCTTTGATACACAACGCGATGCGGTATCATTTATCCGCTCGGGCGGATGTCCCATTGTCCACGCCGCGTCGGATTCTAAGGATATCGTTTTTAGAAAATAATTATGACCGCGGAATGTCGCAAATTACCTCGATGACGTTCCAACGTTATCTCTGCGGCCTGTAGATATTAATTAAAATAAAATTCTACCAGAAATAAGATATCGCTTTTCGTTTGCACCTTTCTAAGATCTGATTTCTTCTGAAAATCTCTGGATCTTCGAACGACGTGAGCTCGAAAAACGCCTTACCTCGTGTGTCTCAAGCTACGATCTTCTTACGGAAAATCGTCGAAAAGGCAGAGCGCGTCCCGATCTCCTTGGAATCGTTTTAGCCGCCCAGCAAAGTAACATTTCGATATTTCGGCGTATCTATTTTCAGCGAGGAGAAGTAAGGGAGAATTTTTCTATGCCGGGCTACATACGAGAGAATAGGATGCGCGCACATTTCACGCTTTATGCGGCCACCGCAAAATCGATCGTCGACGATCGAATCCCACGGATGGAGGAAATAGCGTACCTCTGTTTTTCCTACAAATTGAATTCGGTCCACGTTAAATATTATCGGTTATTAAAAGCGACGTCGTTTGCGCGCCCGTATGTATGCATGTGTGCGATCTGTCGATATTTTTCTGCTCCATGAACACTCTCTTTGGGAATTTCTCTCTTTTTCCCTCTCTCCCTCTCTCTCTCTCTCTCTCTCTCTTTTCCTCTCTCCCTATTCTCTCCATTCCCCCATTCCCATTATTCGGTCTCTTCATCGTATCCCACCTCCCTGTCCCGTCCTACTTTGCCTGGGTTAATTCCGCGGGTTACTCTCGGTAGGGAAGGTCGGCGGTGTTGGTTTCCAGATCATAGCCACGCAATATATAGATCCGGAGCGACATATCGATCGATGTGGACGAAAGCGGAATAATAATTTGCACTGTTATTGCGAACCCATCCGACGAAATCAAACCGGGCCGGCGCGTTCGCCCTCTTGTTCCACCCCCTCGCCCTGCATCCCTATGTCCGGGTGTTTGGCCTCTCTTTTCTTCTCTCTTTCTCTCTCTTGATCTCTTCAGCTCTTCTTGTTCATTATCTCCACCCATCTCCGCTCTCTATCTCTCTCTCTCTTTCTTCCATCCGTCCTTTTGAAGGTAGAGTAAATGCTTTTATTGATTCCCTCCACACTCTTGTCCCCCCTTTTTTGTACCGGCCTCTACACATACACACGTTAGGCACACGCTTTGTTCGACGGATGAGTGGAACAGCTACCAATATGCGAATGACAAGTGGCAATCGATTGGAACTCATCGTCTCCTCGGTGGCGCCTAGCTCGTCGACGCCCCAAAGACGTTTCGCGTCGGTAGAAAAATACTCCCGACATGTACTTGCCTCGCCGTAATGGCTTCATCGTCGTAGACATAATGGCATTCTCCAGACAGTGGCAAGCGAGAGACAATCCCGCATAATCTCGCGCGACATATTTGATTTCACTTAACGTCCCGACAAACCTTGTAGTTTTCGTGAGGAAATAACAAATGATGAACTTTAAAAAACACTTCTTTCAGTTACCCTGTTATACACATTTGTTTTAATAACGCATGATTATCATTTCTAATATTCGTCACGTAATTTACATTCCCGTCGTATTCGCGTGTCCGCGCGTAAAAGTGGTTTCGTTTCGTTGGCGAAGGATTGATAAATAATTAATAAATTTCGCAAATAACTCCGTACATAACTTCGATGTTATTGTTGAGAGATTTGTCGGAAGAGCAGGAACGGCTGGGAGAATTGCGAGCGAGGTGAGCAATCTTGGCCGATGTCGGGGTAGCACGAGGGAAGTACGGTTTACTTCAAAAACTTTTTACCGGTAGCCAGCGGGCACTTTAAATAATCCTTCTGCACGCGGATATTAAATTTCTTACCGTGGCTCGCCGTGAGTATGGCCAGGGTGCCATAGCAGTCCGTTTAAACGGTACACTTTGTCCGCAAGACCGGGGATTGCTGCGGTATTACATATATACATATATATATGTATGCGCGTATGTATCTTGTGGTCCTGTGGCCGTTTAAACTCTATTCGCGAGTTCCGTAAGAAACCCTTAAGGCTAATTGAGACGACTTTTTCACGGAGGCGTTATTTCACGCTCTGAAAGACGCGCGACGGCTCTCGATATCGAGCGTGTCGATCGCGTTTGAGATTAGTTTCTTCGTTGTGGCTTTTGAAGAATAAAAAAAGAGTAATGGACGTAACAAGTTGCACAATGTTGCGCGGAGGAAAGCGAGAGGAAAATTTTTCACTGAAAAAATCAAGCACGAGAGTGTAAAGATGAGAATTCGCCTAATTAGAACCAAGTGACCGACAACCGCGCGAGTCCGTTTGAACTTTCGATCGGCCCTTTCCTCTCCTTTCCGTAGACGAGTTTCGTCATTAGCGGATTTGCGGAGCGTTTCTCAAGAGCCACGCAGGACGTATTGAATATTAACGGACGCTCTCGTAAAAATTCTCAGAGTTGGCAAAGTGGTTTTGCGTTGTCGCTCGTCGACTTCGAGTACGCACCGGGACGTTAAGAACGCTCGCTCTGCCTGCAAATAACGGCAGAGCTTTGAATTTTAATGCGCCGCGCCGATGTCGCGACATCAGGCATCATTTTGAAGAGCACAATATTTTCGCAAGATTAATCACAACGGCGCCGACAACGCCGCCATTCTCCCTTATCGTAAAATTAAATGTCACTGTGGAAATGAAAGCCGTTTTTTTTTATATTCCACTTCTTGTGGCCAGTATCCT